AGTAGGAGTAGGAGTAGGAGTCAAGCTAGCCAGCTCGAGCGAGTCAAGCATGGCATGCCAGTCCCGCCCGCCCTCCCACAACATAAGAAGCAAAGCTGGCACAACTGGGGGCCGAAGTCACACCGGCCAGCCGGTTTGATACAGCTGATGCGGCCGCGATGGCGGTTGCCGACGGGAACTGGCGAGCGCGTGTTGAATGCCGCGCACGCATTGCCAGACGAGTCGAGAATGGCCCGGTACACCGCAGGAAGCCAGAGGTGGCCGGAGGAAGCCCGACGGTCTGACAGGACACCCCTGTGAAATAGCATTGGGTTTTTTATGTTTTTATGTTTTTATGTTGAAATGCTTGCAAACACACGGTGTTCGGTAGGATTCTGACATGAACGCGCGAGTGTGCTCTTTGTGGTATTTTTTGCACAGGATTCGCGGCCTGGGTGCATGACAGAGCATCGCGAGTGCACCGCGCGATGACGTGAAATCGCTGGATTTGACCGAATTCTTAAGATTCATATGGTTTTCCTATGATTTCAGCAAGAGAGCCCGGGCGGGAAATTTGTACAATTTTTGTGAACAAGCATTGGGTTTTTGATGTTTTTATGTTGAAATGCTTGCAAACACACGGTGTTCGGTAGGATTCTGACATGAACGCGCGCGTGTGCTCTTTGTGGTATTTTTTGCAATGGATTATCGCCGTGGACGACAGGACGTCCATGTCGAGAGGAAAAAATCAGAAAAATGTTGATTTTATATTGTTTTTTACAGGTTAGGTGGGACCACCCGGATGCGGCCCATCGCCGGCCGAGGGGAGAGGGGGGAGTAATATGCTAATAAGGAATAAAGATCGGAGTAGTGGTAGTAGTGGTAGTAGTAGTAGTAGTATTAGTTAGTTAGTTCGTAGTAGTAGTAATGCTCACGGCTTGCCACTACTTATGTAGTTGCTGCTCTGTAGTAGTAGTAGTAGTAGTCGTAGTTGTAGAAGTAGTAGCAGCTAACAGTAGCAGTAGTAGTAGTAGTAGTAGTTAGTAGTAGCAGTTAGGCAGTAGTAGTAGTAGTAGTGGCAGTGGTACTGGTAGTAGTGGTAGTAGTGGTAGTAGTAGTAGTAGTAGTAGAAGTAGTAGTAGTAGTAGTAGTAGTAGTAGTAGTAGTAGTAGTAGTAGTAGTAGTAGTACTACGACTACTAGGAGTCGTAGTAGTCGTCGTGGTCGTCGTCGTCGTCGTAGTTGTAGTAGTAGTAGTCGTCGTAGTAGTAGTA